TATCAGATTTATGGATTCACCACCTAAATGGCACATAACTTCAAACCTTTTATGCAAAGTTAATTTTCTGGCTTAATTTAGACTTTTGACCCCCCCAAGTCATGTGCATTTTGGAATGAATTTTTGACAATCAACTGCATTTTAGCCTGTTTTTTCAACCATCAACCACCCCACCTGTAAAGTGAAAATTAGGCACTTTCAAAAGTGTCCATTGGACACTCTTGATTGAGAGTGTCCAATGGATGGTTATTTTTTACCATCCAGAGGATGGTCTTGACCACCAGGCATCACTTGGATGGTTTCCAAAGCATCCAAGTGATGCTTGGGGCACTGGAGCATCCCTTGGATGCTTTCATAGCGTCCAAAGGACGCTCTTGCTCAGAAAACATCCATTGGATGTACAGGTTTTCTAAAAACCCGCCCCGTGGTGTAGTCTGCGGACTTGGTGTACGAGGGCTATTGAATAGCCGGTTGTCAGTCGACAGGGGTGGTTCTTGATGATCATTTTGTGACATAATACATACATGGACAAGGAATCCTAGTCTCATCTTTCTACATCTCTCTTGCTTGGACTTGACTGGGCTTACAAAATATATTGCCGATGGCGTGTGGCTTGTGCTTCTGTTTCTGTCCTAGTGCATCCCTTTCTTTCTCTTCTCTACAGTCTACATACACTCACTCACTCACTCTCACTTCAAGTGTCATCTATACAATGTCTTGATCAGCAAGGTGGTGGGTGATCAGAAAAATTGTTAAAATGCTAAACATCAACCGTGCTACTACATATGCGTAGCCTTAGGAAGTTAGAGCAATGTAGATGAACTCTTTCAAATCAAGCCAACATCCCTTCCCTCAATCTGCTGGGGATTGTAAGCAGGAGGGATTAGTTATAGCTGCTACCATGGTGCCCCCACCCCCACTGTGAGTGTTATCTTCAGCAGTCACATTCAATGTTGTCCCTGGCCTTCCTTGAGTCAGGTCCAGACATCCATCCATATCATCAAAAATATGTCCCGTCCCTAGCTTGAACCCAAGGCCATGCTGATAGAATAAATGAATGCACCAGCTGAGATCTAATCCAAGTGTGAATCATCAACCTTATGGTCTCCATGATAATATTAAGTTGACTGCAGTGTCTTGATGTAAATATAATGATAAAACAAACATGTAAAAGAGTGGTATAACTGGTTGGCGCAGTCGAAATTTCACGCGTTTGGTTTGGAGTCCGTGTTTCCAGGCACGACGATGCAGTTCTCCTCGACCGTCTGGGCATCCACATCGACGGATTTCTGGCCATGAAAGTCCAACGGAAGCCGGGAATCGTGGATGTCAAATTAGCAAAATGAATCAGGTCTGCTGGAAGTCAAGCCATTGAAGAATCCTAAACAACAAAAACAAGCCTGCTCACATGCTTGAATGTCCAACATATCCGCAAAACAAAAATCGTATGTACAGCTGTTAGTTTTTCCAGAAAGTCATCTACATGCCCAGAGACTTTTGGAGATTTTGCTCACATTTTTGAATTTAAACGTGTCTGCGAAACAGCAATAGTTGTTGTCCATGTTGGTGTCGATGCAGTTATACTCCGTCTTCGATTTTCTGACCTGATTGGCCTTCACAACTGCGACATTGGGAGCGACCGATAGAGTCCCACCAGTCAAGGATGAGTTAATAATCGCCTGTCTTCATATGGGGACAAGATTCAAGGAAAACCCCCATACTGACAAGAATACTTGGTGGGGGAAGAAGATGGATTTTGAGAATCTTCGAGCTCGATGGCTCGTCCACATGCTGCTTGGCTATATTGCGAATCTTCATCGGGGTCGTCGAGACAACTGAAGACGACCTTGGTCTTCTTCTCGCTGTGTTTGTGTGCGATCACAAGCCCACAGGCCAGAGCCATCCAACCCATCATCGCCAAACTTGGGAAACGCATCCTCCTGGTGGATGTGTAGAAGTCGAATTAAATAGGTTAAAAAGAAAACGAGAGGGAGGGATGGAGCGTAAACTAAAGAATGACTGTTGACAGGGGAGCAGGCCGCAAGTTCCGATCTATAGCAGCTTTGACAAGCGTTTAAAGGGGGAAAGAGATTTGGTGATGTCAAGATGGGTAGACAATTGGCGTGGAATTGGCCCACGTGTATATCTTGCTGCTAGCTTTCTGGCAACCAGCAAATCATAGAGGCATCGCTACACTTCATACTGTGAAGAAGCCTATGTATGAATATGTACTCGACGGTGTTTTCTCTAGTTTCCTTCCCTTATGTTATTTGCACACATCAAATACAATGGAGGAACTTATCAAACATGGGGTCGAGACATGTTCCAAGAGATAAAGAGAAGCTGCCAGTGTCTCCCGCCAAGATGTAATCGTCAAAAAATATGTGCAAGGGTGCACCGCGTCTTGGATGCTTGGCACGGCTTAATGTCATGCCGGGGGCTGATCACTTGAACCGGCAATGACAGATATAAATATTGATGCTCGTCCGGGCAGCCATCCATCTAACAAAACCTCCTGGAACCCGTGCCATGGCAACCTGACGACTCGCTGAAAACCCCGTCAGGCATTCAAGCGAAGTTTTCCTACACATTTGTACACCCGGCGCAAGCGATATCGTCTCACAGAATGAAGGAACAAGGACAAGAGTCACCCCATTTTTGCATCCCTTCAGACACTCGTGGGGCTGACAAGCAGCGGTACTGTTGTCCCAGAGGATGACTCCAACTCCTGAAATCCATCCCAAATTCCGGTTGAGTTATTGACTTCAACATATATGTTATGATTTTGTTGCCCTCCATTGTAGGAATCCAAAACAAGAGAACATTCAAGACCGGTGGTAAAGACAGAGCGAGCTACTGTAAGCTTTATTTTAAACAGAAAACAAACTTGAGATCATGGCATATGTGGACGGAAGGATGTCGACAACTTGGCGGTGACAATCTAATTTGCCAGACATGTCAGGAGAAATGTTTTGTCTAAAGAATTTTTCGTATTGTAAGGCCTGTCCGTATACATAAAGGCTTTATAATCATTTCAGGTTGCAGTCTTTATCTTGTTTAGATGCGGGATGACTTGATGAGACCATGGAAGGATGATCCACTCGATCGCCATCTTGCCTGCAAGGTCCGGAGCTTGCCGTGATCAACTCATTTTGGTGTTCAACCAGTATTTAGGTTGACATCGGCCGTTAATCACAAGGTGGACTTGCTCCCAAGTCTAGGGACTAATTCAATGCAGTAATCAGGTCATGGGTTGTTGGAGCTGTGATGCTGAAGATGACTCCTGCCTCAGGCCCCCGACACTTTCAAATTTTATGACGGGCTGCGGCGGTCACCAGTCTTAAACGCATCGCAAACAGCACAAATTCACAATTACTGCACCACCGATCCGCTTATTTCTACAAAAACATAACACATTGCTTTGTAAGTTGTATGGCGCACTACAATCTCTTTGGGGAGACATGTCACTATGAGCAAAGAGAAACTTGATCCGCCCCACCCACACTATTCACAACCATCTCCACAACTTGTGGTGCCAGGAGAACCCCCGCCCCCTCACACAACTTAGAAGCTATGTATACCAGGTAGCTGGGGAGACATGCTGTCAGCAAGACAGTACGGGAAACAGAGGTCCATAAGACCCATCGAGGAGGGCAGTTCCTCGGTGAGCCCTGACTCAAAGAAGTCCGTCGGTCTTCGGAAGAAATTCATTAAAGTAGCGGTGAGTCATACGGTCTGTAACTACTCAACGGGGACGACTCCTCGGACGTTTGTGGTACGTGCTAACGTGTCGACGAGGCGAACTCTTCGTTGAGGCCTGCACCACATTTGAGACGGTGCAGTACGAGTCCCAACTCGCCCTTATCTTGCCCTCCAACCGAAAAAAAACGAACTCTCCGGCCAGGGCTATAGAAAACATCACCTGCTCCGTGGACCAAAATAAAAATATACGTTAGGGATCACTCCTATTTTTCATTCGTTCGACATTTCAATTAACATATTTACGCATATCCGGACGAAGAAAAAATGCTCTATACCATCATCGCAATCGCTCTTTTATTCGCACATCCATGTCAATCCATGATTCCGGTGGCGCATGAGACCGCAAGCTCAGCTCACGCAGGTGCCTCTGCCGAGGCCCTCGGATCTAAGGCGGTGCCACTCGGTCTTGAGAGGCAGCCGATCTATAAAGTGCCCGAGCTGAGGAGTAAAGATTTAAAGGGAATGCGCAAGGATTACATGAATTCAGAAAAATCGTATTTCTTCATAGACAATGATGTGAGTCAAAACGATATTTGGGCGTTTCTCGATGCATTCTGTTTGCTGACTGGAATTATCTGCTAGGGTACAATCAAGCCACCCGAGGCCGAGGCGGAGAATACCGCCGCATACAAGGAGAGGGTCAGGGAAGTTTTGACAAAGCTCACTGCTAATGGTAAAAATCAAGTTTGGCTAGTAACTGCCAGGGAAGTATCAGCACTCGAAAAGGAGTACGGTAACATTCCTGGACTGAATCTGGCTGGAAAGAAGGGGGTGGAGTTGCGTCCAACGAACCCTACGAAATTGAAACTTCCAGATGTCAGCCAAATTAGGAATAAACTTCTACAAGAGGCATCAGCTATTAGTAACAGTAAGCAAACACCCAAATCATTCATGTGTGATATAATTTTAAGCAAGTTTTCTCTCTTTATGTACCACAGGACTCGAAATAAAGGGAGATATGTATAGTGAAGGGCCTTACAGGCTCCGTTACATGCAGCGTCATGACATGGCGAAAGATAAAAGTACTGAAATGACGGGTAGGTTCTCCAAAACTGATGTAGGAATGCGTTGAATTTAGAACTGATGACCTTGGGCCATTCAGAAATGAAAAAACAGGTAGCTGAGTTCATTGATAAAGATGAGCAGTTCAAAGATTTTGAAGCAATATTTATAGAACATGCCAACCAATATGAAGTATCCATACAGCACAAAACATATGGCACCAAGGCACTGATTCCTACATTGATGCTTGAAAAAGAATCACCAAAGTTTGCATTGTCTATGGGTGACATGGATATGGATGAAAAGATGCATGAAGTAATGAGAGCAGCCGGCCATCGTGCAATCATTGTGAAGAAACCAAAATCATCGTGGCAGCGTTTCCTTGCAAAATATCGAGAACCAGAACCATTTGACTTTAAAGCAGGACCAGCTTTCAATTCATTTGCTACTCACAGATTGGACAATCATCAAAAGGCCATCAGATTCCTTGAATCTTTGGTGGAAACTCCTAAAACCTTTTCTCAAAAATTTGCATCATTGTGGAAAAATTGGGAGGTATGTCTTGCTGATCAATTTGTCTCTCACACATATCAATTGTTCTGAAACTTTGGTTTCTCTTCCAGGGATTTTTGCCTTCGCTTCTGAGAAAAATTCATTCAAAATTAGGATCAGGCAAGAAAACTGAAAACAGTCTGCCAGTCTAATCTGGACTGGCTCTTATTTTTTTCCCAATAGGATTAATTTCTATCATTCTCATCATCAAACAATCTTAGTAATCTTTGTCCTGATAGAGCTTCCCAGCATGGTTACACCCAGAAACATGAAATCAATCAAAACGGACCTCACATTTCATGATACACTCTTGTGTTCTTATCTACAAGTTGATTTTCCTAGCGGCCTGTTGCAGTTGTCCTCACTTGACCCTTTCCTGACCACTTACTTTCCTTTTTCTTAACTCTTCTTTTCCTTTTCATTTACTTCTCTTCACCGTTTCCCACCACCTTTCCTTTGTTAACCTTCCCTTCCTGAACCTTCCTTTTCATTTACCTTTCCTTTAAAACTTTTTTGCTTTATATTACTGCTATTAGTGGTCTACCATGCTTCTGTTTTGAATTTTTCCTGTCCTTTCTTATGGTTGCTTTCATTTTTTATCCTTTTTCATGCAAATAATCTGCACTAATTGATCACTGTCATTCATATTTCACTCTTTACAATGATGAAAGTTTCTCTTTTGTCATTATCTAGCTTGAGTCTCCACATATCTGCCAAATGTGCCTTGGATAGTTGATTTGTTTGATGTGGGACCAAAAAAACAAAATAAATTCTGTCGGATACTCTACCTCATAGCTCAAAGTAATTGGAGCAAAAGATAAACCAGTGGCACTGAGCATGAGTTAACTCAGTCAACTGGTTCAAGAAAGATGAAAGAAAGAAGTAAAACCAATGGGGTTTTATTTCAGGTATTAGGTTAAATTTAAATAATCTAACTACACATGAGCATGTCAAACTATAAAGGAGAAGGTATCAGGAAATGAGAATGTATATCCAAGAGATTGTCTGAGTGCAAATTAGGGTTAAAAATTGAATTTAGAAGTTTAGGGATGAGGAGGACAAGAGTAGAATTCCTACAAATTCAGAAGTTTACTTGACATTCATTTTTTCTTGAAATTCATTACATGGAGTGATATTACAATTTTGAAGGTTAGGAAAAATTAAAATCAATAAGAATGTACAAGTTTTTCCAGGATTAGGTTGGTAGTTTAAATGGGATGATGAGTGTAATTGAAAGAAGGATAAAACACCAAAAAAAACCAAACAGGAGGAACACTTGACACTTCCCTCTGAATTTTTTGATAAATTTGAATCTATGACTTCATATATTATGACATAAGAGCTTATCTTGGATCAATTCAAGGCTATTTCAATTCATAATAAGCCATATTGATGGGCTCAGAGCAATGATTGCAGCACCCATTTCAATCTGTCAAGCCAACATAAGAAATGACTCCTTATTGCACTACCAACATCACAGTGTCAATCACAAGATTGATATTTTGATTTACACAGCCTTCATATTTAAATATTTCAAATTCATCATCATTATATTTCTGCTTTTTGTGAGGGGCGGGACGTTTAAGATGAGGGACTTGATTTGGTGAGGAGCAGTCAGATGAAGAAATTGAAGATTTTAATTCGAGTTGCAGCTGCGCAATTCGGAAGCCCCAATGGCGTGCATCAGAGGGGGGCCTAATCGATGCCGATGCGATCCGCCTTGGTCTGACTGCTGTGTAGTCAGTACACCCATCCCGAACGATCACGTCACAAAAACACCTCAAACCGAGCTATCATCAATAACTAAACCCATCGCATCCGATATCTCTCAATCCTCCTAATCAAGATGTCCTACGTAATTCTCGGAAAGTCAGTGCCATGGTTTCGATCTCAATAATAAAAAGCCCAAGTTCGATGACTGAGAATTGTTTTCTTATCCATTTTCTTCGCTTACCCATCGTCGTTTTCAACTCTCCAAAAACTGTGAAAAATTTCCACTTCGATAAGGCGAGTTCTGAACGAGCACCTGGCAGTGGGAACCTTGGCAGTGAGTCCTGATTTCATGATTTCACTAATTCTGGATTGAACTGATATCTCTTTCTCAACTCTCTGCATATTAGGTTTTTGGTACCGGTGTCGCTCTGGCTATGCGAGGAGGGTCGAAAACCGACAAGTCTCAAATCCCAGCTCCAGTCGTCAACAGCTCTTCGAAGTTCGTTTTTTCCGGCCTTTTGCCTTTCAATTGACAAGGGTCACCAAGCAAAACTAATATTTGAACACCTATTCACAGAGACGAAGAGGCTTTTATCCGGGAATTCGTTCGTGTTTTTTTTCTTCTTGTTTCTTTTATTCATCTTTTCACCTAGATAGTAGCAATCTTCTCTTTAACAACTTAAGCAACTAACATGAGCTTTTGTTCCCGGCTTCTGCAGGT